GCTGGAGCTGGCTCCCAGCGGGGCATGCGGGCACTGAAGGCCAAGATCAGGTGGTGAGATTTGCCTCGCGGAGAGCGCCGCGGCGGCCGAGGCCGGGGGGGAACAGGATTTCCTCGCCTCCCGGCCGCCGCACAGGCCCCCTTTGTGGAGGGCCCAGCTCCTGCGCAGACCGGAGCCGGCGAACAATAGCGCAATGTTGCTGCCCGCTGGCCAGGCTCTCCCGGTTACACAGCGGCCCGCCGAAGGCGAGGAAACCGGGTGGCGCTTTTTTATAGTCGCAAATATAAAATTGGGGCTTTCTCCCCTTTCGCTGCCCCCTACCCCAACGCCGATAGAAAGCAGATAAATTTATGAAGGGCGAGCTAAGAGAATAATTACAGAGTGAAGGCCGTTAAATTTTATTTCCAGTCCCAAAGGCAAAACCTGCGATTTTATTGCAAACATCTGGAAGGACCGAGAGGCGGGCACGCTGCTGGTTTAAAACAAAAACAAAAGATTTTATTTCGTGAAAACAAAAAAACATCATTAATGACCCTTTTGCCCCCACGGACTTTTATTTTTGAAAAGTGTGAGGGGGTAGCTGAATAGTCAGCGGCTCACGGACCCGCAGCTCCCCGCGACTGGAAGTGCTATCTACAAAAGTGGGCCCGTGCCATCTCTGCAGAGCTGGCACTGGGCAGATGTTTCCAGAAATAGGCTCTCTCTCACGCCCACCTGAAGTTCTCCAGGACCGCTAAGCCACCCATAACTGGGCGCCAGTTTGGGAAGAGAAGTGAAAAGTGGGTCCTTGGCCTCCCATTCCTGGAAGATTCAATCACAATAATAAGGTCCTGGGTCTGTCCATCCTCCCATCCATTATCATGCTTGCTTTGCTTGCTTGTAAAGTATTTAGGGCTCTTTCACCCTGCCGACAGGGAAACTGAGGCACAAGCCATTAAGTGATTTACCTAAGGACACAGTGTAGAGCTGACTGGGACCTGGCTGCTAGGCTCTGCTTGTCTTGGAGTCTATGGTTTCCTCCCGCACCGTAGTCCTCGTAATGTTTTATACCTGCCCAGTCAGGGTGAATTCATTGTAATTCCCAAGCTCCCTGCCCACGTGTTTAAGGGCAGCCTAACATGGCCTGCTGGCCAACTATTTTTAAACTTTGTTTTCAATTACTCACTTAAAACTGCCGAAGCACAGTGTCTGGTGGCTCACCTTGAGGCATGAGCAGTGGTGGGATTTGGGGGGATGTTTAGTGTGGGGAGAAATACAAAGCAAGGACAGGCATGTGGAGGGGGTCAGGCTCTGGACTCTTGTCCCTAAGCCGTAGAATTCTGTTTGATTTCTTTGAAAACATTCCAAAGGATAGGACAGTGCCCCTTTTAGGTGAGCACTGTGCTGTCCTTCTGTTCTTGGTTTTCCTCCTATTAGGCTAGTTTTGGCTATCTATCTCAACACCCCTTCCCGCACCCCACAGGTGGTCAGTGAGCTCATCTTCCTCTTCCCCCTCCCAGATCACCCCTAGACTTTTCACAATAATTATCCTCTTTGGGGCCCCTGCAGGGGATAGGGTGGGGGTCCTGCTTGGTCCTTGCCAATGAGCTTCAGACCTGAAATAGACCTGAACTGGATTCCCCACCTACAGACTCTGCCCAGGGCCCTAAGTGGGAGTCTGTGGTTGGGAAACTTGAGGATTGCCTTGGAACATAGCCTCATACATGCCCGCCTTCCTCCCCCCCCTCTCGCCCCCCTTATTCCTAAGAGTTAAAGGAGCGAGAAACTTGGGTAACCAGAGGAGAATCTGAAAGCCCTTTGATGCAATCCATGGAAGGAAAATGCATCCATTACTCCCAGATTTTTACATGCAATTCCCTAACCCTCTTTTTCTTCTCCCCATCACATAAATGTAAACACCCAAGTCACAGACATTAAACCATCCTGCTTAATCTTTCCCCAGACTCTTCCCCATCAGCACAGGTCACATGTCAAGGAGTGTATGCCCCTGGGAGAAACCTTAGATTGACCCATGTAGTCACAAAAAGAAAATGTCCCTGCCCCTTCCATATTTACCTAGAGGAACACTCCTATTTTCCTGATTATTCCGAACCAGCCTGGCTTCACTGCCATCTGATTTGTTTTCATGGTCTAACCTGCTTTTAAGGACATGTGTGTACACAGAAGGGGGTGGGACAACCTCTGTAACCTGAAGAATGCAGGGGCTCTTTCTGAACTCTGCTGAGTGAATGCTCTGGGTTGGGGGGGGGGGAGTTAATGCCTGCCCTTGAAAGCTTTGCTCACCTCTCCAGGTGTGTCTCGGGGACATGTGTCTGTGGACACCTTCTAGACCTGAATGGAGGTGTGTGGATAACCCCAAATTCCTCTTTTTGAGAAGCGTTCACAGTCTATGGTGTACCTAATTCTTAATCCAAATCGGGTCTGTGTGAGAAGGCCAAGGCAGGAGGCTGCCAGAGGGAGCTGTGAGATAGAGGTTGGGGAGAACACAGGCTACCCCACTGGGCCTGGCCCCACTGGGCAAACTCCAGCCACCAGTGGTGACACCAGAACCTGGAACCCGAAGAGCGCGGGCAGAGCCTCAGCGGAACATAACTGAGAGCTCTTGGACTGAGTGGTCTCACTGCAGCCTAGGGGTGTTAAATGCTGTCCCGTTAGGCAGCGGCTCCTGGAAGCAATGCCAGGTGGGGACTGAGAGGGAGACACTGTGCCTAGCCACCCCAGCTCCCGGGGAGTTTGCGAGGCAGCGTGGAGGGAGACCCTGAGGGGCTCAGCACCCAGCTTCTACATTCCAGGGTTTTTAAGAGCAATTCAGAGACACTGGCTCTGGAGGCCAAGCCTGGCTGAATCACACTCATCCAGTGGTTTTTCCATTATTCTTCCTGCATTTGCTGCCCTCTTGGCTGATTCTCATCTGGGACGAGGGGGCTCCAGAAGTGGCCCGTTTTGCTCTCCTGTGAAAAGGCCAAGAACATTCAGGACACTAGGTTGTTGCCTCCAGCTCCAGAGCACTTCCAAGTACAATAGCAAGGACTAGATTTCCCTGCCCCTCCGTGGTCAGGAGGAGAGGGTGGCTTTTCAGAGGACTTATAAGCCCTCCCTTCTCACCCCAGGGCGGGAGGATCAATGGGCGCTCCTTCCAGGGGGGCCTATGACACGCCTGGGCCCCTCTGCCCTAGGCCTGCGGGTTCGGACTCTGCTCAAGGCCTGGCTGTTGGCACGGATAGTCTGTTGGGCCTGGAGATCCGTTATTCTCACACCAGGGAGCTGACTCTTTCCCGCCCCTTCTGGGGGCACAGAAGTGCCTGCACCGGGGCTTTGGCTCGGGCACATCAGGCTGTGGCAAGGTCGTCCTCTGGGAAACCTGAGACCCTTCTCCAGCTCGGTAAGATCAACAGCTTCTGGCCCCTCCGAACTCGCTCTGCGTTGGCCTGGGCTCGGGCTTTGCCTGTGGCCCGGGACCAGTAGCGCAACCTAGGAAGGGGTGTGGGAAATCAGAATAGCCAGAAGAATTGGGACTTTAAGTTCCTTAGAAATCCCTAGCGACCGCACTACCCTGAAAAAAAATTTTTTTTTGGAAGGGTGGTGGGAGGATCAACGGGGCGGGGAGAGCCATGCTCCCGAATGATCCGATTTGAAGGGAATTTTGAAAAAGTTCCTTCTCCTCTGTCCAAGTTCCCGGCTGCACTCGTCCAGCCCCTCTCCGTGGGTTCCACAGAGCAGGCGTCCTGAGCGGGCGCAGCTCGGCTCCGCGTCCCGTCCGGCGCCGAAGGCCAGGCGCGCCTTTGTTGCTTGCGGGGCCCAGTCGGGATCCGGGATCCATCGGTTGGCAGAGCGTTTTGGGCGCCCCATCGGGCCTCCGGCTTTGAGGGGCCCACCTCTCCTTCTCCAACAGGTAGAGATGGAGGAAGCGGTCTTTAGATTTTCAACAAGGTTCTGGCTAGCAACGGGGGCTTATAGATTGTTTCTTTCGTTTTGCGTCCACCGGAGTTGTTTAGAAGTCGTCCAATCGGGAAATAAGAACCTTGTGTCGAAATCCTTAGGATCCAGCGAATCTAAAAGCATCTGGGGGGCAAGCAGGGAGATGACTAGAGCCGTTTTCTGGCATTTTGGTCAGGTTGACATTGTGTCTGAGCCCCCGAATTTCAGATCTGTAGTGAAAATGACTGTGGGCTTGCAGCATCTTTGAAACCTAGCGGATTTGGGAGGAAAAGGTAAGGGTTGGAGGCCGGCGGGAGTGTGTAAAGGCACAAGTCTGACCTCGACCTTCAGCTCCCCTTCTCCCCCCACGGGGAGCCCACGGGACCCTGGGAAGCCAGGAGTTAAAAGTCGGCCCTGGAGCAACTCGGGGGCCGCGGGCGCTGCGCCCTGGCCGGGGCCTCAGTCTCTCCCCTCCGCTCATTGGCCCGCGAGCTCAGGGTTTCTCCTGTTCCCTCCTCGCCATTGGCCGGGGGCTTGCTTCTCTCCCCCCCCCCCTTACAGCCTTTCTCTTCCTCCCCCCTCCTCTCCCTCGCCCCAAGGACAGGAGCGCACAGCCTGCCCCCAGCTCCTTGGGAAGGGAGGGATTCAGAAAAAAAGTTTCCCAGAAGTTTGGATCAGAGGGAAGGACGGGAAAAGACCGAGAGAGGAAGAGGGAGAGGGAGGAGAGAGAGGAAGAGGGAGGAGAGAGAGAGGATAAAAAAAAAAAAAAAATGAAGTCCAGTGTACACAGCCTGTGAGCGCCTGCCCGGGCGGGTGGGTGGGAAGCAGGACGCGGGCGCTCATGCTGCGAGCGGGCGGCGCTCCGGGCGCTCGTGCTTAGCCGCCGGGGCAGCCAGGGGCGCCGGGCCCAGCCCGCGGCGGCGGAAGGAGGGGGAGGGAGGCGCAGGGGGAGGGAGGGCGCCCAGTGCCCGCGGAGCTGCCGCCTCTCCCGGGCCCGGCCCGGCGGGCGCTCGGAGCGTGAGGGCGCGGGCTGCTCCCTCGGCAGCGGGGGCGAGCGGGGGGCCGGGGTGCGGGCGGCTAAGATGAGTGAAAGGAGGAGATCTGCAGTCGCCCTGAGCTCGCGAGCACATGCCTTCTCCGTGGAAGCCCTGATCGGCTCCAATAAAAAACGAAAACTGCGAGACTGGGAGGAGAAGGGGCTGGACCTGTCCATGGAGGCGCTGAGCCCCGCGGGCCCGCTCGGAGACGCGGAGGACGCGGCGGCGCACGGCCTGGAGCCTCACCCGGGTGAGTGCGCAGGGCCGGGCCGCGGGAGGCGGGCGGCGCGGAGGGAGGCCCCGGCCGCGGACGCCCTGTCCGCCCTGCCTTGCTCTGCTGCGATGCGGCAGTTTCTTAGACAAATGCCTGCAGTCCGCCCCAAATTCGCCGGAACCAATTTGGGGGAACTGGCCTGAGCTTTGCATGTCGTCGCCAAATTCAAGCCAGGAGGCCTCCTGGCTCGTATCCCCTTCTCCTGGGGAGCGGGGCGCAGCGGTCCTGGGGCCCGCAGCGGAGGAGCTTGCAGGGCCCTGGGGTAAGGAGGGGCGCCGATGGCCTGGGGAAAGGAGAGGGGCTAAGACCAACTTCTGAGAACTCGGGGGATCAGATCGAGCGCGGGGGAGGGGGGTGTTGGCCCGACATCCCCCTCTTAGGGAAATGCCCCGTTAGCGTTCCACCTCGGCCCTAGCCCTCCCCTTTCCCCTACCAATTTTTCTAGGGCTTAAGTTGCCGAATTTCCCCTCCTCCGGTGACAAGGGAGCACGGTCCTATTTTCTACTTCGTTAGCTTTTACCGAGAGAGGCATATTAGACCCCTTATCCCGCGCCCTGGGTTCATATCTCCGTGCATTGGAGGGCATGGGTGCGATTGATTTGATTGATTTGAATCTCGGATCCATATGCACACACCGCATACAACACAAGGAGGAGGTCGATGTTGGTATTTTAACAGAATGGGGGGTGGGATGGGGAGGGAGACGACTTAACGTTTCATAGTAAGTGCCAAGATTTCAACTGTTCAAAACAGTGGAGGGAACAGCTGTTATCAGAGGAATCTCATACACACACACACACACACACAGAGGCACACCCGGCTCGCAGCTGGGGTTAGCGGCTTCAGAAACTTTCCAGCCAGGACTTCTAAACCTCTTCTGGAGGTGCTCCTTCTGACCAGCTGAGGCTGGGAAGTGGACGTGGGTCAGCGCACAGGCCAGCGCAGGGGGGGAGGAGGCGGCAGAGGAGGCAGTGGCCTGCACAGGGATGGGGGAGGCCTCGGGCCCAGGCACTTGGGGGCTGGAAAACTGGCCGACCCAAGGAGGGACAGCTGTCGCTTACCATTTTCTCTGTCGGCAGTGACAGTTCAATTTCCATGCTCCCGGGGCTAATAATAACGCGATTAGCGGGTGACCTGCAGAGACGGGGTTTTATGAATTCTCCGTGTTCCTGCGGCCCGTTATGGTATTTGGCTTTAGTGTTGGGGAATTATTTTTATTAGTCGATGAAAAGGAAATTAAAAGGAGATTTATTTCATCCAAGTTTTCCCCTGCATCTGGATGCGGGTGCCTGCCCACTCGGATAACTGAGTGGGCAATCCGGAAAGAAATTCTCCTCTGCTAATGTGTTTCCCGTCTCTGGCCAGACTATTTTCTCCCCGCATTTATTTGTTGTTAAAATCTTTGCTTGGGCCTTCACGTAGTTTAGCGGGAGTTCTTTCAGGCCTTATGACAACGGGCGATGAGGAGGGTGGATTTACTTCACGTTCCCAATGGTAGCAAAGGCACACCGTTATTTAACTGCGCGGGGCAGACGCCCTGTCCTCCTCCACACCCCCGCCCCCCACTTTTCTCCAGGCAGCAGGCCCCCAGAACCGGCCTCAGTTCACATGCTAAAAAAGAACCAACATGCAGGGTCATACGCAGAGACTCAGCAGGAAGTTTCCTTTCCTCTGGTCTCAGCCATAAGCCCGGAGAAAACAGTGAGTAAGGGTTCCCGCCAGCAGATGCCAGTCCAGGGCCCTGAGCTCCAGGACCCGGTATCCAGAATGCTGTTCCCTCGCTGGAGCTGGAAGTGAGTAGGTGGTGAGGACCTCACCCTGAACTTCACATAACAGAGTTCGGCGGATCCGTTCACATTACCTTTATCGCTTTTATAAAAAGGAAAAAAAATATGGCCTTTGGGTTAGAAAAAAACAAAACAAAAAATGAACTATGTCTGTGGGGCAAAGGTCCAGGAGGAGGAAGAAGCCGCACACCGAGAGCACTCGCGGGCTTTCTGCCGAGTGAGCGGGCCTACCGGCGGGTCCTGGGCACATCAGGGGCTGAGGGGACTCCAAATTGGAGATCTCAAAACCCTTGGAAATCTCCAGCGTGGAGCCCCGTAATGGCCTCGGTTTTCGTAGCAGCCGGACAGGGGGGGGAGAACAGATCTCTCAGGAAAAGGGCGCGGTGTGGGCTCCAGCACGTTGGGATGGTAGCAGGAGGCAGAGCCAGGGTTTGGGGTCCCCTGCCGGCCTTTTTTTGTCTCCCATTCAGCGCCCTAACAGCCGCACAGAGGGCCTCATTTAAAAGTGTGTGTCCGGTGGTGGCGGAGGTGAGAGATGCGGCCCTTGTGGTTCCATTGTGCCCAGGGCCATGCCTCTGCCCCGCTGGGCCTCCAGGTTATGTTTTTCCTCTTTTCCTAATGAGGGCCTAGGGGAGGGGGTTCGGACCTGCTGCGCGGCTCGCCTGTCTGCCCTGATAAAAGTCTGGAACAGCAAACAAAAACAAAAACTACAAGAAAAACAAAATTGCTTCGGGGCTGGGGAAGGATAAACGCTGGGTCGCCGGCGCACACACAGGAGGATGGCTTAGCGCATCTGTATTTGTCAATCTCTCCATCCGGCTGTTTGACGGATCCCCTTCTCTCCTGCCCTCCCTGTCCCAGCCTCCCAAACCTGGGGAGCTCAGGTAACTCGCGGAGCACATTTAACGTTTCGCTTTTATTCAAAGACGCGGCCTTTGCCTGTTCGCAACCCGTTTTTCTCTCCGCGCCGGACAGAGCGGGCTTTGGTTGGCAAGGCGGGCCCGCAGGCAGCCGAGGGACCAGCCCAGCTTGCGCGCTGCAGGCGCTCACGCACCAGAGGGCACACAGTATGTATTTCACAATTTTCCTCCGAGCCTGGTGGTCCCGAAACCTCCCCGAGGCCTCAGGGCTTTGGAGAAGGGCCTGCGAGGCGCTTTCAGTATTGCACCCGGGCGGGCCGGCACTCGGAGTCTTTGGGAGAAGCCGCCGGACCTGGCCCACCGCGCACCGGGGAGGGAGGGTCTCCGAACCCGTCCTGGAAGAGCCTGACTCTTGAGCCCGCTCGCTCCCCACTTCCATCCGTCCGATCCGCTGCGGCCACGGAGGAAACTTTCTCCGGGAACAGCTGCTCCGCTCGGGGGGCCTGGGAAGTATATTCCAGGCACGTGGCGGCGCCAACGGCGCTCTTACCGCAACCCCGACGGCTCCCCTGCCTGCGTCTGGGCCTTTCCCGCCCAAACACACAGCCCTGTGCACCGAGGCCCGGGCTCCCGCGGAGCGAAATAATGTAATCCTTCTGCGGGGCACTGGGCATTTCCCGCTACGGAGCCCGCAGGCTTGAATGTTGAAGCCGCAGCGCCCTGCGGGCTTAGGAGGCGGCGAGGCGTGCGGGCGGCGCCCCGGACCGCACGCCCGGGAGCGCGGGGGCGGGTCGGCGCTTCGTGCATTTGCACACACGCCAGGCGCCCGCGCTCCTTTCGTCCGCACACCCGTGTGCACAACCCTAGTGAACCGAGACGAGAAAAGCCCTCGCAGTGCCCCAGCGCATCTTATCCTCTGGAATTATCCACCGCCTCCGAGAACAAATATGCCGGTTTATGGCTTGTTCGCTCAGAGTAGAGCTCCAATATTTTAATTCCGACACCACCCCTCTACCCACCTCTAACGTTCAACAGAGAAACACAGACCCGTTACCGACATTTAAATGAGGCAGAGACAGTGACCAGCGAAAAGTCTGAGGCCGGTGGGGTGGGGAGACTGTGCTTGGCGGGGCGGGCACCAGCCAGGTCTGGCTGGGACCACAGTGCAAGGGTGCGCAGCGTGGCGAGAGGCGAGCTGCGCAAGGGTCTGCCTGGGGTACAGTTCCCCGAGGTGCACACCCCCGGGGGCACCCCCGAGGACCTCAGGGGTGCCCCGCCTGAGCCCCCAACGTGCCCAAGGCTCCTCCTGCTTGGTCCAAGCGGCCTTTCTCGGTGGCTGACCCTTTGGTAAGTAACCTTGCGAGAAGGGGAATGGGGGTGGGGTGGGGTGGGTTGGCAAGATCTGAATTCTTCTTAGGCCGGCGAGGATGGTGATTTGCTTGAAATGATGGCCAAATAATTTTTTCGTGCGCCCGTGGGATGGTGGCTAAATCAGACGCCCTCTGGGTGTGCGTGCGGGGCCCTGGAGGGCACCCCCATGGCTTGCAGGCCTGGAGGGTTAGGGAGCCAGTCTTGTGTATCCGTGTGGCCCTGGCGAGGTGGCACAATAGAGTCACTAGGAATAAGGAGATGCTTCTAACTTCTTTCATCCCCCAGAGGGAGCAAACTGGGAGGTCGGTGGGGAGGACAGGGAATGGGGAGAATCCGGTGCCCAGAATCTGGGCTGCAGTGGAAAGAAGGCGGAGTGTGCTGTGGTTTGCACCTTCCTGCGTCCCCCCCTCTCTCTCCAGTGGTGTTCAGAAATCCTTGTGATGGGTGTGAAAGGTCTGAGGTTAACAAGGCAGTGTGGGGGGAAGTCTTCTGGATTCCTGGCCAGGGCAGCCCCTGGCCCCCCACTGACACCCACCTGGCTCCTGGGAGACCCTTTGGAGAGCAGAGGCCTAATAGGCGACAAATGCTATCCTGGACAGAGCAGCCCGCAGGCTAGGAACACAGTGATTCGTGACTCCACTGCCCACCCAACACTATTTCTCATTAAACTTTTTTTTTTTTTTTGGTTCAGGTTGGCCACTTTGGGTTTCCCGATTTTATAGGTAAAACTCCCAGAAAGAAAAGTTCATGAGGTGATGCTCATGCAGATGGAAGGGGGAATTCAATTTCTTAGAGTGGAGTTTGGACTGAAATGATATTGATGCGTACCCACTGTCTTCCTGCCCCCCCCCCCTCCGCATACCAATTACTTCAAATGGGGGCATAAATGTTTTTAATTATTGAAATTGGTTTAAAGCCTCTTTCGTTTTAGCACACTCCGAACGTGAGTGAGTGAAGA